AATAGAGCCATATTGTATCATTTTCAAATGTTGAAAGAAAATATTATACAAAAAATGAGATTAGGGTGTCTCAAAACTCTTGGACCTATAACTTAGGAGCCAATTTGCCATTTATATCCAAAAATAAATGCCAATTGGCCTCTTCGCTTTGATTAGGGGTGCATATTATAGAGCTTGAAGAATTAGATGTGCTGACTGCTCACTACTAAAAATAAAACAAGAATTTTGCAATGAATTTGTAATAGAAATATTTTAATAAAAAAATCGTTACAAGTTCGTCACAATTTTGTGTTGACAGATGTGCGACAGAAACATGAAATCCCGTAGAGAAAAATTTTGCGACCAAGGAATTTATCAAGGGTTAATTTGTACTACAACTATTGCGAAAACCTTAATTTGTCGTTGTGGATTCGTTTTTTTTTTTTTGGTAGTACTCTTAATTTGTCGTTGTAAATACTTTTTTTTTGTAGTACTGTGAATTTTTTATATATTTGATTGACAGTGATTAATAGATGGATGGTTTTCTTGTCTTCAAAATAAATTTAAATGTCTATCTAGTTTCAGTAATTAAGGTAAGAGATAATTAATATGAATCTAACACGTTTTCTAACATCATGGTTGAATTAAAAATGAAAAATAAAAATTTTAACATATAATGACATAAAATAAATTGAAAACAAATTGAGATGATTTGTTTTTCTCCTGAGGCCAAAATTACTGTTTGATACCCGCAAAGGTCGATGATCTCTTTTGGCATATGGCAGATAAAATATAGACCAACAAACAATTTATTTTATACAACTATAATCTTTTATTAAAAGATCAAATCCCAATCACTTACTTAAAAAACAAGAACTACTACTAAAGTTAACTTGTGAATTGGTTATGAATGAGAGAAGTTCTTGCATACATGGACCTAGTGCACCACGTCATTTTTGTCCTATCCAATAAAAACATGCCATGTCATGTGGCTATAAATATAAATTAATTTTGTTATTGATGATAATAGAGAGAAAATATAAGAAAGTAAAGAGGCACTCTATTTCAAAAATAAAATATTAAAAATAATGACATGTGAAATTTTATTTAATTGATCTAGTGCAACATAGCATGTTTTTTATTTAGATAGAGCACGGATGACATGGTGCACTGGGTCTATTCATGAATTTCTCGATTGAATAATTTTTAATTATCAAATTGGACCGATTCTTTATTTTATTTAGGGCATGATCTTGTAAGATTTTTCTCAAGTCGCCAGGTGGACAATCCAGGTCATGCACACCCATGTCCATTGCAATGGCAAAGTCAGCCAAAAGTTAGCACATTTATTTCTTTCACGATAGATGTGATTAATCTCAACTTGCCACCCTTTAAGTAGTAGGGAATGAATCTGCTAAATCGGTCATAGTTTAACCTTGATTTAACTAATGAATCACCAATTTGATGATTGGTCTATTTATATATATAAATAATTGTCACAATTGACAAGGTCAATAATGACGAGAGGTGGCATTTATAAATAACGATATTTAATTAACATATAAATATTATATCTTGGTAAACCAAATTAACAAATTTGAGTGGATTCTCTCAAAACAAAAGTCAATGTGCGTAGAAAAAGGAATATGACCCGGCGAGCTTCCTCACACATACGCAATCGGGGGAAAATTTAACTGATTGACTTGCCAGTTGTCTATAACGGTATAACGAATTTTAATTCTCATTATGATTTGAAATTGAATGAACTTTTTATATAATTTCTAGCATGATCCTGCTTTATAGATCCCAACATTGTATGACTAAAATAGTTGTCGTCTCTGAAAGTTATTTTTTCCATTTAGAAGATTTAAGTTTACGTTATGATTAAAAAAATGTATTCCAATTTGATCTAGGGTTAAAGGATATTTTTGCCCATTAGTACTATTCACTCAAGAATGTCTAATACTCTTAAATTTATGTTTGGCACAATCGCGAGTGGAGCTAGGATTTGATAATAAAGAGGGTTGAGATTAATATATATATATATATATAGACACACACACACACACATATTACAAAGCTTTGATAAATTTTGGAAGGTAGAAAATATGTAACATTTATATAATACTAAATTTAAAAACTTGGGGGCTGTGGCCCCTGCTCGTCCTTGCTTCCTACGTCATTGGGTGCATTTTGAACTTTTCCCTTTAACATTTGAAAATATTACTTTGAACATTAAAAAAAAAAATCAACTTTGACAGTTAGTTGACTTAGTCAATTAATGATGATGAAGTTGACATCTGCCTGGGGTGGGTTAGTCAATCAAAGAAGTTGGAAGATATTCCGAATATCATTGATGGGTTGAAGTTGGCAATGTTAATGGTGGTACTTCATATAACATACACTAGCATTTGCAAGCAGATGCCAAAACGATGGAAGTCAAGGTAGGAAGATCGGTAATCGTGGAGGCAAATAAACTTTTGGCCAGCATATTAGAACATAAAAGAAGTTCCACATTTAAATACTAAAATATAGATCATAAATATATAAGCTTAGGAAGTATCTAACAAATGACTTAAGCTATTTTGATAAAATATATTATCCTTAAGTATACTTAATATAAGAAATCTAGCATGGTATCAAAGCCATTAGATTGAGGACAAAAAAAAAACAGAGAGAAAAAAGAAAAAGAATGAAAGAATGAAAGATGAAAAAAAAATAAGAGATTAAAAAAGAAAGAAAGAGAAAATGAGAAGAAGAAATTGAATAAACCTGAGACTTCTAAAACTAAAAACAAAGTACAAGCCCAACTAAGAAGAATAAGAAAAATGAAAAAAAAGGGAAAAAAAAGTAGTGGAAGATATATTAGAACATAAAAGAAGTCTCACATTTAAAGATTAAAAGATAAATCATAAATATATAAGCTTAGGAAATATCTAACCACATAGCTTAAACTATTTTGATAGAATATTCTATCCTTAAGTACACTTAATATAAGAAATCTAATATAGCATTCATCACCATAAATGAGTAGGAGAATTCTTAGCGAGAGAGACGAACGGTGCTGAAGGGGAGATTTTGGTTGCCCATTGCACATGGCGATGAGGGACTGGTAATTATTCATTGTAGAAGAGTTGCTGGAGGAACCGCAAGTGACGATGAAGTTATCGACGGGACTGTAAGAAGTGACGCGCTCATGTAGATAAGAGAAGTTGGAAGAAGAAAAATAAGAGGATGATCATGGCGTGATCTCTGGGGTTACAAGCCTAGCATCCGTTTCTTCAAAATAAAAGGAAGGTGCTAGATGCTCCAATTTTATTAGTTCCTAAGTTCATTTGCACTACCTCATAATATAGGATGCCCAGTGCTCCTCAAAAAATAATTTAAGTACAAAAGTGGCCTTTAATCCTTTTTTTTTTTTCAAGTATAATGTAAATGCTTGGTCAATCAATCATGTGGGATCCCGTACGTGATGTCCTGAGTATTACAAAAGTCTTAAGAGTCATCATTGTGTTAGTGAAATAGTAGTCATTCATGGTTAAATACAATTTTTTTTCAATCTTATTTGTTATTCCGATGACAACTGAATTTACAATGAATGGTGAAAAGTCGAATAAAGAAAAATTGAGTTTACTGAAATACTTCGTGTGACTGGTATATGTTTTGAAGAAATTACCTTAACCTATAAGCTGATCACAACTTGAATTTTGTGGGTCGTGACATATATTCAAGAGAGTGCACTGTATGCTAACTAATTAGCTAAGAATAGCATTAAGTAGAATGAGAGTTGTAAGACTAACATGTGTTAGTCTACATGGTAAGGATTTAGCTTATAACCCAAAGGTTGTGGGATCAAATTCTATTGCCGATATGAAAATTTTGTTGGTATGTAATCTATAAGTATATATATATATATAAGTGCTCTTTGAGCCCACAGGCATACCCTGGCCTAATGAGCTTTTAGAATTCAACTCATCTAAACTTTTTTTAATTAAAAAAAAAAAGAATGAGACTTGTAAGGTGTATTTTGAGCCTCCTAGTGAGCTCCTTTTCTGGATGTATTTGAGATTATATGGCCTCTGGGGTTTCGATCCCTCATTAATTTCTAGTTGGAAAAAATATATATATAATATGGGCCTTCTCCCATTTTCTTAAACAAAAAAAAAAAAAACACATACACACACATACAACAATGATTTCAAATGCTAAAAACTATGAAAATAATAATCATATTTGCAGTTATTTTGAAGAGCTTGAAAAATTAATTTGTATAATACAAACTAAAGTGTAAGTTTCAAACAGTACTCCACTGAACATTGAGAGTCGTCATTTTATGACTGTTTCCATTTTTTTCCTTGGAGTGAGTCGGAGGTGGCACATGGGACAGATTCAAACAACAATTATATATAAATTCTCTTTGATTCCCATAAAAAAAAAAACTAGTATTTACTTCACATGTAAGTTTGAAATACAAGCGGATGTAGAGTTTGATAGGTTTGCAATAATAGTATTTTAAAAATTTACTGCTTGAGAATGAATTTATTTCATTTGGTTCCCAATAATATACTGCTCTTCCAACAAAAGCACAAACGATTGAAAGAAGTCAAGAGAAAGAAATGAAGACAGAGAAAATTGCCCTACATTATTGACATGAAAAGCTTATAATATATAGATTATCCTAATAATAATTAATGAATATCATAATAATATCTAATTAATACAAAATAATATTAAATTTCAATAGGATATAAATATAACAAATGACAAATCTCAACACAATATGCCTCTTGTCCTATTTGGCATATTTATTTAAGGGAACTACATATCCCATGATTCAAACATGAGACTTTAAGATAAGCTGACTTGACCAGTTAAATCAATTGCCCCTTAAAATTTAATAAGTTTTTAACTTTACTTCTAATAAATATACATACTTTATTAATATATTTTTTCCAACAATATTTAATGGATCATAAAAGGAAAAAATTGTAATAAAATTTTCATGACATGACTTGCCAATAAGAACAAACAATCCTTCTCTCACTGCCATATAAATAGGAGGAATATACAATTAAAAAGACCAAATGTTCATCATTTCCCAAACAGACCATATCCACTACATTAATTACAAATACTCAAACACATATATGTAATAATATAGTATAAAAACTAGTATAACAAGTCACGCATTTATAAGTCATAAAATGCGTGACTTATTTATTAGATTTTGTGTAATATAGATTTACACTATATTTGAGACTTGAGATTAGTAATGGTGACAACGAGGCACATCAGACTTTGGCATGACACCTACCAAACATCGATTGCTAGCAAGTTTCCTCCCTTGTGAAACTATCAGAAAAAGACGAGCAAAGAAAATATGTTGAAGAGTAATAAGAAAATATTGAAAAGAAAGAAATACTCTATTTTTCTTGGGAATAATAATAATCATGTCATCATTATCGTTATCAGCTAATAAAACTTATTGAAGATCTATACATATATAAATATATCTTTCTATATGTAATATAAATAATATATCGTAAAATTCATATACTAAATACTTCATTTCGAAATAAACCTCTTTAATTTCAAGTTCGAATCATCCTGCTAATAATTTTAAGAATATATCACAGGTCTGATGCAGAACATGCAATAGTACTATCTTGTCCAAAAGTTGTTCCAAATTAAACACGATTTATAGAGATTAAAGGCCTGTTTGTTTGTATGTACATTTGTGTCCTTAAAAACTGTTTTGCAATACAATTTTTTTAATTATTTTTCAAAAAAAAAAACAGCTAATCAGTTTGATTGTGTCAATTTAAAAACAGTTTTAGAATTAAAAAAATTTGGCTATGGTGAAGGACACTAGTAATTAATGGTGGCAGCTCATGATAATGAATGATTAAGAAAGCTATAGTTTTCAATAATCAAATGTAATGTATTTTAAAAATAAGAAAATAAAACAAAAACATCTTTTAGATGTTTCTATTTTTTATTTTTTTAAAAATAGTTTTAAAAATAATTAAATTAAAAAAACTTATCTAAATGATTTTTTTTATTTTTTATTTTTAAAAACAAAAATTATTTTTGAAAACAGAAACCAAACAGACCTAAGTCTTTCTTCTAAATTAATCTCCCTTAAACTGCAGTCAAGTTATCAACATATACTTATCCAAAAAATAGTATAAATTAAAGGCTGACAGAGAATATGGAATATAAGAATTAAATCATCATCCCTATGTTTATTTTACTTATATTTATCAAAATAACATGTAGATCACACATTGTATGTATTCAGTCAATTTTAACGAAATAACAAAGTGGATTGATGTTAAAAATAATAAACACATGTTGTAAGAAGGGATCTTCATGCTAAGTATACGTAGATATTAAATTTCTTCTATAATATTTATGCCATTATTAATTATTACCATTAAAGTAATATGTTGAGCTGTGCAAATGAAATAATCTAAACTAATAGATTATATAGAAAACAAATATTGTACCCAAAATTAAAGTGTAAAAAATATTATATTAACCTCGTCGAGACTTGATAATGAAAGGAAAATGAACCAATTCTTAATTATTATGATTGAGCATTGGAAGGACTAACAACAACAATTCATCTAACCCAAGGGTGTGAAAATACAAACCCCAAACTATGGGGACTAAATTTGAGGGATTACATTCAATTTCCCTACTTACAAGCCTAACCTTCAACCATATATATATAAGGAAAGAGCAATAACTAACCATGATTAACTAACAACTAATCATGATTAACAACTAATATTCCAACAAACCGAGTTCATAATTGGAGATTAAGAAATGAAGGTCAAATAGATTTAACAAGAAGGAATCACTCACATATATGAAGGACCGAAGCGCCACCAAGTTTCCTTGTGGTTGCTTCAACAGAAAGGAGCAACACAGAAAGAAAGAGAACCATCAAAATAAGAGAGTGCTTCTTGGAAGCCATTGATTAGGTTTGATCGATGTGTCGATCACTGTAAGCACAAGACTTATCAATTTATAACGGGTAAAAAAAATATAAGGGTATTCTTGTCCATTGAAGAGATTTTATTTTTTTTAATAATTCCTCTAGTCAGAAGGTGTAGACTGATTCTTCTTGCAGGTTTGGTTCAAATAAGTGATGTACATAATTTTATTTTATTTTTAATTTAGGGACTTTGATTAAGTAGCTATTTAATTTTGCTGTCCTTGTCCTCCTCCTCATCGTTGCCTTTGTTGTTAGATTAATTGATTAATTAGATTGAATCACTCAACTGTTCTTAAATTTTATTAAACTTATAATTTACATAAATATTCTTTAATATAAAAATAAAGACTTAATTGCGCAAAACACATCTGAACTTTTTGTTATATACATCTAACTTTTACTACTTCTAAATCTTCAACATATCCGCCCAAAAATTTTTAAATTTGTTCAGAAAATTATGTTGCTATTAATTATTAACTAATATGTTACAATATTTAAATATGAGTAGATCTAAGTTGAAATTTGAAATTTTATATCAAATAAAATTAGACTTAATAATAATGTTTAATAAAATGAAAGGACTCATAAAATCAACACTAGTGCAAAATAGAATTTTAATGATACATTTTTCGCCACAGTTTCTCAAAAACCTGTGGCAATATATGCGCAAGTGGCTTTTTCATAATTAAATGCTTATGTATTTCATTTATAGCCACAGTCCTAAGATTAACTGTCACCACAAATGAAATTAGTTAAAGTAAATTAATTTAATTAATTTTAAAAAATTAAATCATTTAATTTAATTAATTAGTTAAAGTAAATTATTACTCAATTTTTATTACCTAAATATAAATAATTTTAAAAATAACTATAATAAATTAAATTAATTAAGACATAAATAAGTAAATTATTTATTTAAAAAGTTTAATTTTAATAAATTAAAATAAAATTTAGTAATTAATAATATAATTCTAATCAATTATGTTTATTAAGTATTTCTTATTTTAGGTAAATTAATTTTTCTTAAATAAATTAAATTAATTAGGTATTTTTGAAATTAATTTATCTTATTTTAGGTTAATATGTCTGAATTTCAGGCATAATTAATATTTGATATTTTTATTTTATTACTAACATATATCTAATTATCAAAGGTACCTTCACAAGATATACACTGAACTCGGTGTCGATGAGAATTATGGGTTCTTATCTCCACTTTTAACCTCCATTGGCAAAGTGAATCAAAGAGCTTCTTATATTAGAAAGACGATGTGTAAGCAAAAAAAAAACATGCTGGTTTTTACCAATTATTGAGAGGTATCAAATTTTAAATTCGCCGTTCAATTTATAAAAATATTTACTTAATAATGTGATATTAATATAAATTAATATATTGTAGTCATCATTAGATGCTTCCTGTCATTTGTCCATATAAAAATACTATATACTGGTTTTGTTCACTGAAAAGGAAAGTAAGCGACGGCATGAAGTCTTTGATTGAATTGTAAGTTTTTAAATAACTTCATTGTGTTATTAATAATATATATTTAATATTTTCTAAGTGTGTATATTTGATAAATAGATCTTTAGCGATATATTGGAAATTAGCGAGAATGGTTGATAAGAAAAAAAAAATGAAATCAAGTTTGTACCAATGCAAGTATTTCAAATTTATTCCTTAATTAGAATGAAGATTATAATATTGGTTTAATGAATTTAATTATTTCTATTTTCTTTATAGTGTCCTCAACAACCAGGAAGTGTAGAATGTGGTTATTATGTGATGATTTTTATGTATAAAATCATCACTCAAGGTATTGTTCACTCATTTGATCAGGTAATAATTTATAAATAACAATTTATAATTATGAAGTTTTTCATATACTTGAGTTATTATTCATACATATATTGTTATTGAATTTGCAGCACTTCCAAAGTTTAGAGCCATATTCTAAGTAAAAGTTGAGACATATAAGCAATTTGTGGTCTAGTTTTTTCTTAGAATTAACAGGATTAGAGTAGAAACTTTCTAGATATTTTGTATTGGAAATGTAATTTAGTTCATGTACCAGACATATTTGTATTGGTCTTTAAAGTTGCTGTTTCTTAATTAATGCAGGTTCTGTAAGTAAGGAAATGTATATAGTTATAAGAGTACGAGTAAAAAAAAATATTGTATTTACGGCCACAGTTGTTATACTAACTGTGGTAAAAAGCCATTTATGGCGACAGTTGTTGATAGAACTGTCGCCATAAATGAGCTCTAGACTAATTTTTTGCCACGGGTGGAGATCTTTTGCCGCAAGTCCTGAGACCACCTGTGGTGAAAAATTATATTTTTCACCACTATATTTTTCTCCACAAGTCAGATGGCACATATGGTGAAAAATATTATATTTTGCCATAGTTTCTTTTGACCTGTGGTGAAAAATGTCTATTTACTACCACATGATTTTCTACTACACAGCATCTTCCGTCGTTAAAAATGCATTTTAACTGTGACGAAAAATGATTTTTGCATTAGTGCAAGTCTTAAGGTTTTGAGTAAGTAGATGATAATTTCTTCTTTCCCTCCACCATTGGAAAACACAGAAGAGAACAAATAGGCAATAAGGAGTTGAGGATATCACATGTTAATTCAAAACCTGAAGACTCAAATTATATGTCCTTCTATATTATTATATATTGCTTAAGGCAAGATTTATATACTTAGCTCAATATATATACTTAATATACTTTTATCAAGTCAAATCAAAAGAAGTAATTTTTAATATGTTAATATTATTAATAAAAAGAGAAGGTGGAATAAATATTCTATAAAAGATACACATGTTATTTTGTATGTATGGTAGTTATTTGAAATTTTACCCACTCTAATTCTCTCATATATGCCTATGTCACTCTCGCCTCTTCTCTTATATCTTATTTTCGTCTCCTGTGATTGAACAAATAAAGGTAATATCATCATTTTAAATACCTTGTTTTCACTTTGAATCTCAACTTGTCTCTTTTCTTCTTTTGAATGTTTTATATTATTCAAATAAAGGATTTTAAATGCATACATTTTTAATGTAAAATTTAAATTTAATATTTTAAATCTAAAATTCAAATCTAAATCCATCCACCCAATTTTCCAACTTCCATAATTCTCATAAAATAATTTGAAACACAAGCATATAATATTACAAAGATAACTAAATAACTGTTTACTTGGTTCTTAATAATTAATATCTTTCTTTTCCCACAACAATTTCATTGTTAATATGTTATTAATAATTGTGGCAACGAGGAGCATCTTTAGGTGGGTGTCCTTCGCCTATCAAACATCGGTTGCCTGGTGCTCTGTTGGCAAGTATCCTTCCCTCATGTGAAGCTATTGAAAGAAAACGAATTTAAATATTATCTGACTTCATTTTGTACAGTAGATATAAATAAATATAAGGATATACATACACATACATATAAACATCAATATCAATATATATAATTTTTTTGCAAATCTGCCTTAAAAATCCAATCAATATTAACTTATTATTCCACCCAAACAGTGTAAGAGAAACTGGGTTATGTGCATGAATGTCAAATCTAAATCATCATCTTTGGGCCTATTTTACTTACTCCATCTGTACTACAACATAATTCGTTTTCTAAAAGTTTTACCTGTCCAAAATATAATATATTTGGTGGGTATTATATTTTTTTTTTCAATTACACCCTTACTTTATTAAGTAATTAAGAGGATGTTTTGAATAAGTTAAATGTTACATTATTTATTATACTCAATGGCACAATTAGAAAAAAGTGAAAAATTTTAGAAAATTAAGATTTTAATCAACTTTGTTTAAAAAAACATAAATTAATTAAAATAACTTATATTGTAGTTTAGAGGGAGTACTTACTAACTTACAACTTACACACACACACAGACACCAAGTAAATATGTAGATATACACATTGATATGCATATAATTAATGTGATTATCTGACCCTTTTGAGCAGTTCGCTTTGATCATTTATATAAGAACACATCTATTTTTTTCTATTGTCTTATATTTTTCTCCATCAAAATACCATTAACTAATGTTCAAGATTTTAAATTTACTAAAAATTAATTAGTTAAGATATCCTATTAAATGCTAGGGAATTAAGTAGGGATAATAATTGTGGAAAAATAGAACAAAATATTGACACATTTATTGCTAAAATCTAATTTAGCTGATTTTTTAAATTCTTGTGAATCCGTTTAGAAGGTTTTATATATATTGGAGGGGGTAACAAAGTGTTTTATAGTTTAAAATAATCAACTCATTTCTTTTTCCTAAAAAGCTTAATTAGTATACCTATATTATTGAGTTTCCATAACACTATCAAGTTATTAATTATTAGCATTAAAAGAATATTTTTAAAAGATGCAAAGCGAAATAAACTTCAAAATATCACAGGATCGAAGCATGAAACCAAATTATCAAAAAAAAATTATATATAATAAAATCAAGGAAGGATGACATTTAGGTCCCTTATAAGAAATTATCAACATTTTGTTCCCTACCAGAAAAAAAATTTATGTGGTATATACTATATCATTGTTGTCAATTTCAAAAGGTTAATTATTTCAAGCAATCAAAATGCCAATAATATTTTTACAAATGATTTCAACCAGTGTAATTTATAAGTTACAAATAGGACAGATTATTCCCCAAATTTTATGTACTTCACAATAAAATTAAACTTGAATGTTATGTTATCCAAATATGAGTGGACTTAAACCAATATAGAAAGTGGATAAAGTAAGGCTTAATAACTAGAATGTAATAAAGGACAAAGATCTATAAATACTAGTAATGATGTTTTAGTTAAAATATGGTATCCTTCTGCTACTTTTCTTCCATTTGTTTTCTCTCATAGTTTATGGGTAGTTGCTCTCCATTTCTAACAAATTAATATTAGAGTTAGGATTCAATAAAGAGACTTATGGTTTATAGGCTCACTATGCTTCTAGCTTAAGTCCATTCACACTTAAACAGCCTAACAATCTCTTTCTCAACTGTGAGATTTGGAAAACTTGTGGACTCACACTTATGCTTCTAGCTTAAGTCCACTCACATTTACACAAACTAATAATCTCTCCCTCAACTGTGAGATATGGGAGTTTGTGGACTCCTACTAGAGAGGATGGTTTGTTAGAATATCGAAGTATGAGTCGAATTAAAATAATGTGGAAAGTCTCACATTGAATAAAATTATGCTTAATGACTAATATTCCCTCCATCCCATATAAGACATTTTTAAATAAAATCACACATACTAACAAAACTTAGTAAATAACCTTACTTTTTCCAAAAAAAAAAATAAACTTTCAAAAATACTCTTCATTTAATATCTATTTGTGAAAGAATATTAAATAGAAAGAATATATAGGAAAAGCATTATTAGTGAAATTTTATTTTTCTCAAAATGTCTTATATTTTGGGACGCCAAATTCCCTCAAAAGTATCTCATAATTTGAGAGAATGTGGTATAAAATTAAGGGGAGTAACCCATAAACTCAAGTCTTAAGGTTTTGGATTAAGATGCAGTGTCCTTCTATTACTCTTACTCATTTGTTCCCTCCTCCCATTTCAGGTTGGCAAAACCAAAAAATATACATATCACTTACACATTTGAAGATCAGAAGTACCACCAAGATTTCTAGCCAATGCTTCAGCAGAAAGAAGCAACGCAAAAAGAAAGAGAACCTCCAAAATATGAGACTGCCTTTTGAAAGCCATTACAGATAGGCTCGATATCTGTATTTCACAATGCTCATAAATTCAATCAATCAATTTATAACACAAATTAAAGTCAGTGGGTGCGTAGTTTTGGACTTTCAGTCATTAGTTTTACATTTCTTTGATATTTCAATATGTATAATCGATGCTTTGGTCAGAAAGTGCGGATTGATTCTTTCACACAGTCTTTGATTCCAATCTAACTCTAGGGGCTGATGTTCTGATGTACTCCCTCAGCACTTCTTCATAAGAAACAAATACTTGTTTCGCACATATAATACATACATTTGAAATTTTTTTTTTCAAAGGAAAAACAAGGAAATTTTTAACAAATGCAAGGAACAATGGGAAATTTTTAACTTTAAAAAAAAAAAAGACTCTTGCAAGAAATTCTAGAAGAAGTAATTGTTATTATTTAACAGATTTGCTCCCGCTTCTCATGAATTTTATTCACGCTGATACCTGGTTTATTTTTAAATCACAACGTAACCAAAGGGAAAAAAATCTACATTTTTACTTTTAAATAAGAACCAAATTACTCTTACTCTTATAAGTTTTTACTCTTTTTTTAAACTCTAAATATAGACATCTTTTTCAATTTTTAAAATCCATAAAAGCTACTCCCTCCGTTTAAAAATATAAGGCATTTTTTAAGAATTAGATGTTCAAAAATATAAAACATTTTTAGTTTTTTGAGGTATAATCATTGTCTTTTTTTCCAAAAGTGTCCTTATTGATAATGACTTTATATTTACTATAAAGTGTTTAATAGGGGTAAATATGAAAAGATAGGGTTAGTTGAAAAATAAATAACTACTTTATTAAGAAGTGAGATTCGATTAAAATGCGTTACATTTTTAAACGAAGGGAGTATCCTTCAAAGTAGGTTAAAAGTTTATACAAAAATATTTCTCGAGAACTTTGTTAAATTAAATTACACAAATATGTCATCAATTATTAAAATCTATATTTTTTTTGACGAAGTTTGCTTCATTTTGTTTGTAAGATAAGTTGGTTCTAAAAATTAGAAAAAGGTTTGTGTAATTTTCCTAAGGCTCATGGGTGTTTAATTTTTGTATTTCATTGTGTTTGGACTCAGCTATTATACTCAAATTTGGTCAAAAAAAATTATACTAAAATAGCTTAAACAAGTTCATATACCCCTCGTTTTTTTTATTACGTTCAGATGTGAGACTTCTTGTGTTATACTCTAATAATTGGAGTTTTTGCTTTTTAGTTTTAACAATAAGCACTTATATAATTTTAATAAAAGCTCACATAAACTTTTTATTAATTTACTCTAATTTCATCAATATTTATAATTGTTTTGATTCCTTAACGCGTGTGATTGTTCATGACTTCAATTTTGACCCGTGAGCCATGTTTCAATAGATTTTGTAATGAGAGTCTAGATAAATAAAGATGTGTAAGATATGCTAGTTTAGGTTAAATTTTGACCGATTATTCGGTCTTATATTTTCTGTACGTAAAAATAAAATTTTAAAAATAGGATAAATAATTATTTCAATGAACACATTAAACAATTAAAATTAAAAGATCAATGAGTTCAAATTGTCTGAAATTATAATATTGATGAGTGATTCCATCAGGTCGTCACCCAGTTTCCGTGTTGAATGACTTTAATTGTGTTATGAATCCATGATGAATACAATATTTATATTCTTAATTAGCATTCTTCGCATTTGCTGGTCGTCGATGGACCGGATATTTTATATTTGACGGAGTCAATTTATAATAACTAAAGTTTTAATGTTCATAGCACAACGTTTTAATTGAATTTAAATAAAAGAGGATAAAGCTGCAAGCAAAGAGTGAAGTAAAGTATGATCTTAAATAAGAATTTGTAAAGTAATGTAAACATATTTATAGCCAAATTAAAATAGTGTAAATCAGCAAATTATCCCCTAAGCTTTAAATTAAGTAGCACCATAGACCCTGAAGTTGTTTATTGTGCAAAATTGTTCTCTCAACTTTTGAAAATTGTGCAATCTAACCTCTACCATTAACAAAACTTAACTTTGACCATTAGTTAACTAGAAAATGATCTCAAAAATTATAAAAAAAGATCAAAAAATTGCAATAAAGGATCCAACCTTTTCTCTGTAATATCATTTTTTTAATGAATGGTTAAAGTTAACTTTTATTAATGACATATGTTAGACTACACCATTTTCAAAAGTTGAAAGAAAAATTTGCACAATAAATGAGTTTCAAGGTCTATAGTGTTACTAGACCTAAAGTTCAAGAGTAATTTACTCATTTACCCATTAAAATATTACTTCTTTAAGTTTTTAAGTAATATAAATATGTTTTAATGAAAAAATATGATAATAAAAATAGTAGAATATTAACGTGTCTCATAAAGAAACCGTATCAGACAGGTATTGAACCCTGCTGGCACGTTTATATTTAATTTTAAAGTGTGGGAGCTTCGTAAATAATTAAAGAACTCTTCGAAAATATTAACATTTGGTATATAATTTGAAACAAGCAGGTGTGGAGCCCTTTGGGTTTGTTATAACATTACAATTTACAAAATAACTATTTAGACAATGAATTTATAAATAGATCATAAGCATTATAGTATTATTAATTTATTATTATTGTTAATAATTGTGGCAACGAGGATTATCACGTGATGTGAATCTCTGCAAACATCGATTGCCAGATGCCTGAGTGGCAAGTATCCTTCCCTCCTGTGAATCTATAGAAAAACAAAATTTGAACTATTATTTTTCTTCATTTTTGGATAATAAAAAAGAAAAGTAAATCAATCAATGTACTGATATTATCACTCTGTGTGTGTGTGTGTGTGTGTGTCTATATATATTATATGGAAAATATAATGTAAGAAGCATTGGTGCTTTTAATTTCGTGCTATAATGAAGATGTTTTCTCAATGAATGTCATGGGATGTGAGGAAAGTCGACGAGAAAAAATTGGGTTTAGAGAGAAATTCACTCTATATTTTTTTTTTACGAGATGGAACAAATATTGTGATCGATTATTTTATCCAAACCTCACCCTAAAAACTAACTATAAAAATTATGTTCTTTTTTTTTCCTTTTTCTTTTCTTTTCTTTTCCTTTTATTTTTCTTTTTAGTAAATCAATCTCAATAGCCCTATGAAATATTAAATTATCCCAGCAAACAGTTTTAAAAGAAATTTGGTATTTTTCTTTTTGGCTTTCTCTCAGAGTTTCTCGTAAGTTGAGTCAACCAGAAAATGGTTACAGATTCTCATGAGAATTCTTCTTTAGATTTTTATTGGGATCGATTATCTTACATAGACCTAGCTATTATGAATTTTTTTTTAAATTTCCTCAAAAGTCCAATCAAATTAATATTTACTTACTCCACCTAATTTAAACCAAAGATCAACAAATAATATATAAAAATATATCGCAAGCGGCATGGTTTAAAATTTATGAACTATAGCTCATTTTACAAATTGCATATAATGCATAGAAAAACTTCACTGATTTTACACAATCATAAGGGATTATAATAATATCACAAATTGTCTTTATAATTAATTGTGTTTTATTTTTAGTCCATGTAGTTTATTTCCATTGTTCCTCATTGCCCTTTATTTAATTCATATGTAATTTTAGTCCTTCTAGGTTTTAGAAAAATACCCATAAGGACCATGAGTTAGCCTAAATGGTGTTTATTTTGTCGAATATAAGGGATGAAGAACAATGAAAATAAATCACAGGCATTAAAAAAAAACACTATTAAAATATAGGGACCTAGAGTGATATTTTCTCCAAACATAAATTATAATATACTCCCTTCGGTTCATAATATAGCATTGGTAATTACTTTACAGATCTAAAAAAACTTAATCTTTTGAGAAATTGTACATATATATTTTCAATTATAACATCATCAAGTGCCCTTCACAAGTGTCTTAAAAATGAAAACTGAAATTCCAATGAACTAAATAATAAATGAAGTGAGGATATAGTAACAAAAATTAAAAGAACTACCTAATATACCCTACATTTTTGACCAAGCAAGATTTCTAGAAAATGCCCTACGTACATTATAAATCAGGGAGAATATAAAAAAAAATGTTAAAGATGATAGTCTATATAAATCGAGTCTATAAGTGTATTTGTATAAATAAAGGCCAGATCAAAGATATATAACAAAAACAAAGCATCACTTACATAAATGAAGACCCGAAGCATTCCCTAGCTTTCTGGGCAATGCTTCAGCAGAAAGCAACGCAAAAAGAAAGAGAACCAGCAAAACAAGAGACTGCCTCTTGGAAGCCATTAGTTTGGTTCCATGTCTATTTCACAGTACTCATATACAATTCTTTCTATTTATAATACAAAGTGGGCAGCCAGTAGGTTTGGACTTTCAGTCATTTATAATATTTATTTAATAATAGATGGTTTAATCAGTCAGAAAGTTTGGATTGATTCTTTGAGAGTTTGATTCAAATTGGAAATGTAATTCCAGTCTTCTTTGAGTTATCATTATTTAAACTACTAATGGAAATTAGTCTACCTTCAGGTTCGGAGGGTTAAAAAATAGACACCTCTCAACTTATTTGTTCTATATACAAAAAAAAGGTTGAATAATTTAAAAAAATAATCATGAGTATTGTGTTTTTCTATTTGATTGTACTTGGGCTCATTTATAATCTACACACACACATATATATACTTATAATATAAAATTCGTAATCTTTAATAAGCTACACTCCTCCTCAAATTATTATCAACACATTTCAATTTTTTTAAACTCCGTTTAATACAAGGTCAAACAATAGTTAAAATAGGGGGAAAAAAGTGGAGAGAGACCAAACTGGATAGAACATATCAGTGGTTTTTTATTTCTTTGATTAAGCATGGAAGATTTTTCGTGAATGTTAAAGATTTCGTGCGTTCAATTTCAATGATAATGATAAATAAAATTTGATTTGACAAGTCAATGAGTTCAAATCATCCGAAACTATAATGTGAATGAAAAAGTTCGGGTTATCCTCCACTTTCCATGTTGAATGACTTTGTTTGTACAAAATTAAAATAATATCTTTGTTATTGAGAATTAATATCCTAGTTCTGCTCTAGAATTAAAATAATATCTTAATTCTGTTCTAAATCCATGATGACTTTAGTTTGTGCAGAATTAAATTGTAATTCTTAATTCTGTTATAAATCCATGATACTATGTACAGTGTTTATATGCCAAAGTCTTCTTCACAAATGGCTAAATTAATAGCAGCCAAGCCACTTTGTGGTGAGGGACCTCTCGCTTTGCCCACGCCCCGGGGGGGATAAAAATTGGGCTTGTAAATTTTGTAACTTTACACTCCTTACTCTTAATATTTTGCAACCTTTAAATTAAATAAAAATATTTAAATTCAAAAGCTTATAATTAAATATGTAATATTTTATGAGATAAGATATATGAAGAAAATATTTAAATAAATGACCATATTAATGTATTTAATATATTTTTTTAAAATTAAAAATGTTATTACAATTGTAGTTATAGTGTAATTATTATTTTTTAAAATATTAATTTTTTATTTTAAATTATTTTGCACTGCGGACTCTAGCTCCTAACTCCGCTATTGGCTAAATAACCACCTAAAAAGGGAAAATTTTGGATTCGTTTTTCTTACATTTTATGTCACAAGCTTCATGAGCACTCAAGATAATATAACGATAGTACGGTTAAATGTTTCATGATTTGAAAAATAGGACTTTGTAGAAAAAAAAAAAAAATTGGCCCCTACAAAGTAAGTCCAGGAAAAATGGGGACCCTAAACTTATTTGAATCAAATCCAAATTTACAAATTTCTATGGGTCCGTTTGGATTTCAATTGGGTATAATAAATTATGAAAATAATTGATTAAGTGGTAGATTTTAATCATAATTGATTATGTTATAACGCAATTTGTTTGGATACTGTTTTTCTAAAATTAATTTTAATAGAATTGAAGATGTTTGGATAATTTAATCAAAATTAATTTTTAGCTATATAAATTACTATATAATTTAATTTTTAAATATCAAATATCAATTTTTTGAAGATGTAAAGTTTGAATTTTATTAAGAAAAAAAGGAAAAAAGAAGAGAGTTTGATTTTATTTTTATTAAATTATGTGCGTTCTTTATAATTTTTACTTGGGCCTGTCTTTGTAATTTTTCCCAACATTTTGGACAAGCTTTAGGCAAAAAGCGGATGGAAATCTTACGGGAAAACGTGTGTATGGGCTCAGAATCAATTTTCGTGCTTTTCTAACTGTTTGGGTAATTTGTTGAGAAAATCGATTTTGGGGTTCAAAACGCGTGTTTTCCTGGTATCCAAACAAGCACTATGTATTGAAATGAGGAATTTGTATCAAATCCAAATACAAGTTATCACTAATCCAAACATACCATTAAAGAATGTAGATTATGTATACTTAATTAAGAGATAAGATCAAATTATTCAAACCTAAAATATCGATAGGAAATTAAAGTTCAGATCGTCATATAGTTTCTATTTTTTTTTGCCAAACAAAATCAATTTCATTAATCATTAACAAAACAAAATTACACACACCAATAATCAAAGCTATAGAAAACACTCAAAGAAACCTGGAAGTACAAGCTAACACAGAACTCACCAAAAAAGAAACAACAACAAAAAACAAATAGTTACAAAAAAAAAACAAAATAGCAAACCACAAAACCAACTAAAGCAAACTCAGCCAATACCATTCTTCACATTCGAAACAAAACAAGGCGAACCAGAGCACCTCTGCAATCTCAAATCAAAAGACAAGAAAAAAGACAAAGAGGATGAAGGAACCATTATCCAATAGCGTCATGATTCATCCTTTTTTTAGCCAATCCTGCCAAATAATCAGCAGGTTTATTGCCTTGGCGAGACTCCAAGGAAAAGCAAATATCCTCCATCGAGCTCTTCAATTGTAGAAGTTCAGAAACTAGAAATTGACTCTGCCACTCACAACCTACCACAGAATCCTTCATCATCAAATCAAAAAGCATTTCACAATCTAGCTCAAAGCAAACCTTCTGCCCATGAAACCTTTCCTTCAATCTGAATGCTTCCAACAAAGCATAACATTCAGCCATGAAAGAGGTTTCAGCAACACAGCTTTTACTCAAACCTCCTAAAAATACTCAATTCCAATGCCTACAAATCACACCCAAACTAGCAGCCAAAGACTTAAAATTCCAAGCCCCATCAATATTGAATTTAACACACCCTACAAGAGGCTTTTCCTATTGCAACTTCCTTCCTCTTTGCATTAACCCCAAATTAGTCTTCAAGCCTGCCATATTACTGTCACATCCTGATCTAAATTTCTAAAACTCATCAACCAGTGTGGAAATCAGCCTTAACACCTCCTCAGAATCCACCTTCACACTACTAAACACCCATCTATATCTAAACTTCCAAATCCACCAACACATAGAAGCAATCAATGCTTTCCCATACTCATCCAAAATCAAATTACTCCCAAACATGTCAATAAACTAGTTCTTAACATTAGTAACATTCTTCTTAGAAAAAACAGAATCCCAAAGGACAACCAAACCAACATTTTGCAGCCTAAGGACACAAAAATAGCATATGTTCTAATGTTTCATTCTCATAGCCACAAATAGGACATACCGAATTATCTGCACATTTCCTTCTAAATAAAACATCCTTAGTCGATACAGCATCATGCAACAAACGCCAGATAAAATGCTGAATCTTAAGAGGCACAATCAGCTTCCAGACTTACTTCCATGTTTGCTTCTGAACTTGCAAAGAGGATCCAGGATTCTTAATCAACAACCTAATATCATTAACTTTTGCAAAATGATTACCAAATTTCACTGTATATGCTCCATCTCTATTCCCCATCTAGACCACCCTATCATCCATAGCTACTCTGGGTATTTGAATTTTAAGTATCTCATCTTTTTCAACATCAAAAATTTTATGCTCAATACTCGATAATTGCCATTTCCCCTCAATAATTAAATCAGCCACCCTTAAACTTTCTTCAACAGTATCTTCCGCTTTATGTCTTAGCTTAAAGGAGTCAAGCCCCAAGACACATTGACTACCCCACCCCTTAATTTGCCTTCCATTACCAACCTTCCACGTCAATTGCTTCATTGATAACTCCCTCCCTTCCAACAAACTAGACCAATACCAAGAAGCTTTCCTTCCTTTCTTTGCTGATAAAAAATCATAATAAGGAAAATAGATCCCTTTAATCAACCTGCACCAAAAATCATCAGGTTTTGTCAAAAGTCCCTTTATTTGATTAATATGTGTTTTCAATATTTCAATGGTTTTAGTTAGCAAGTATATCACTTTAATTTATTTGTGAATAAATTATTTTATTTAAGCATGATAAAATAAATCGCTTCCAATTTTCTCTCATTTTACAGTTATAATTATGGTTTACAGACATATAAGTTTAGTATGTTGAATTATCATCTTTTTAATTGGATTACACTATTATTCGAGTTTATTAATTTAATTCTTTTAAAATTTACTTTGGGAATGCTATTCACTAAAAAAATTTATTTTGGCTTCAAATTTATCAGTCAACGCTGATCCTACCATCGACCTCTGAAGGGCAATACAAATATATTAGGTGAAATTTTTATTTGGTACTGTTACTTTTTGATGTAAATATTTAGTCTTATGTATTTTGATTTAGAAGAAAGATTAGTTCCTTCACATAGATTGTTGTTAGGGCTTTATTTTGATTTATATACTGTTTACCGGCTGGAAATAGCTAAACTCTTGATTGATACTATATTCTATAAAATTTTTGTGTTGTAGAATTTTTAGGAAATCCTATTTATAAGGGAGGTTCTATCAAAATTTCTATAAAAACGTTGAAGGTTTGCTTTGACAATTAGTATTAAAAATATTTAAAATTTTCATATAATCTCATTATTTATTTTTAAAATGAAATGAATTTTTATTTTAAAGCTTGCAGAAATCTTTGAAGTAGTTTGCATCCGTGCCGGTCACTCTTTACTTTTAAGGTGTGACATTAGCATTCTTCTTCTTCCTTAACCTTCAGGTCTTGGCTTTGAAAACAAACTCATAGCCAACAAGGTCCCCAATCTGGTCTAAATCAAACCCCTATGCAACCTCCCCATCCTCCTCCCCTTCAACCTCACAAACTTCTGCAAATTTTTTTCTACCTCTCTTACGAGCAACTACTTTTGCTTTCCTCAAATTTCCAGTAAATTTTAACAGTACAATCCTACGCCACATCAAACTCCTTAACACATCTTTTCTTTTTG